ACACTTTTTCACACCACTGTATGTGTGTGTGTGTGTGTGTGTGTGTGTGTGTGTATATATAATATATATATATATATATTAATGTTGTGTGTGTGTGTATATATTATGTGTGTGTGTGTGTATATATATATATATATATATATATATATATTAATGTTGTGTGTGTGTATATATTATGTGTGTATATATATATATATATGTATGTGTGTACATGCATGCATGCATGCATGCATGCATACATACTTTTAACCACACTAAATTATGCGTAATTACATGCAAGTAACCCTAAGCCAACCCCTAATCCTAACCATATAGTAGGTACATGTAGCTAATTAATATTACTCAGTTCCTAAATGTATAATTATACTGTAACAAGGACACCTTAAAATAAAGTGTAACAAAGTAATCTATAATCCATGTATTTACAATGTAGTACTGTAATACTTGTATGCATGTTCTCATATGGTCCTCACTTTGTCCTCTTTTGTTTTTTTTGGTAAAATGCTTTTTTACCTGATTTAATATACAGAAGTGTCTATAAGCAAGCCATTCTTAGGCTGATTTCCAGAGGAAAACTGACGACATTTCTCTCGCTCTCTCTCTCTCTTTTTTTTAATTTTTATTTGATGGCACAATGCAACACAAAAATTTCACATGATTCAAGCATTGTGTCTGAAGCTATTAAATGTTTTAATCCTATTGTCTTGTCACAGAGTACCATTGATCCTGGTGGGGAATAAATCGGACCTGGTGGAGCACAGCAGCATGGAGACCATCCTTCCCATCATGAACCAGTACTCTGAGATTGAGACCTGTGTGGAGGTGAGAAATCTGCACAGTCTGATCTAAATGTAGGTGACGACGTGCTGTATATGCCTCTCAGATCTCCAGTGGCTGTGAGACTGAGTGTGTGCAGAGGGGCAGGAGTGTCATGGAGGAGAGTGACATGTGTCCATCACTCATTCCTGCTTTACTGGAGGCATTGGTTTCAGTCTAAAAGGAAAGACAGAGCTCTCACACTGAGAGTCCAGTGAATGCAAATCAAATCAGTCCTTTATTCCTGTGCACATGAAGCATTACTTGATTTGCATGACTGTATCATGCGCTTTTTTCACCAATAAGAAAACCACACTTTTTTTGTCAGGTATCTTCTGCAGTGATACGGCAAGGTGTCTACCAGTATTTGTTTGATCTCAGATCATTATTATTTTTTTTTTTGTGGGGGAACAAGAAATTATATGTAAAAGAAAACAGTTCAAATCAATATGGGAGGATAATATGTATGAATAAAGTTAATTTAATAAAGTAAAATGCAAATGCAAGTATTTGACTTTGTATGTCAGTTATAAAGCAATTATTTGAATGGCTTTGCAGTGTAAACAAAGTATGTAAATATTTTATTGTGATATATTAGGCATGTTCTTATAGATCATGCGATTGAGTTTTATACACAATATAATGTGGTTCCTTCCCTATTAAAGATCCTTGTCTGATAGCAAAACAATTATTATGTATTGTTTACAGTTTATTTCTACTTAATTAATATTCATTAAGAAATTATGAAACCTTTTTAAATTAAGTGTTCATTATATTAGATGTAGAGGAAAAAATATATAAATAAGAATGCTGTACTAAAAATAAATATATATATATTATTATTTTTTTTATTTTATATATATATATATGGAAGACATAAGCCATGATGTACTTTACTAATATAATGACTTTATTCATTCTTAGTGTTCAGCCAAAAACCTGAAAAATATCTCAGAGTTGTTCTACTACGCCCAGAAGGCTGTTCTGCACCCGACAGGACCGCTGTACTCTCCAGAAGACAAAGAGGTAAATATTACTTCAGTTGGACTGCTGGATCTGTTAATATGACCACTTTCTATTATAAAGAAGAGCATCAAAATATTCAAATAAGTAATGTGTTCCATTCTGTTTATTCTCCAGATGAAGCCTTCGTGCATCAAAGCACTTACTCGCATTTTCAAAATATCAGACCTGGACAATGATGGCATTCTAAATGATAATGAGCTTAATTTCTTCCAGGTGAGAGCAGTTTTCTTCAGCACCCTGTGCTCAAATTGCTGTGGCATTTTAATACTTCCTCAAATAAATGACAGGAGAGGTTGTTTACACAAACTGCACCTTAATGAGAGTGTCATATTTCCTCAAGCAACTTTGTTGATGATTGTTGATTTTGCCTTGCAGAGAACTTGTTTTAACATACCCCTGGCACCTCAAGCCCTGGAGGACGTGAAGAATGTTGTGCGGAAAAATATGTCAGATGGCGTAAAAGACAATGGCCTCACACTGAAGGGTGAGTTGAGTAAAAAGACAAACGTCAGTGGCTTTTTATATCACAGTTATACAGTGATATTTGGCTTCCCATTGCCATCAGATTGTTTAAAAAAAAA